ATAACAAGGTGTAGAGCTGGATGAACACAGCAGGCCAAGCAGCATCACAGGAGCAGGAAGACTGACGTTTCGGGCCTAGACCCTCTATTTTCCTCTTTCTTGAACAAAACAGCCGTAATTGGACACAATAGCCGCGCAGGTACAACGCGTTTGCCTGGCGCACCATGACACTGGTTGCGCCAAATTAAGTCCAAAGATCCGGCGGATTTCAGCCGCAGTTTTGGGTAATTGAGTGGCAGAGTAACATGTAAATGAGGGCTGAGGCAGGCGTAATTAATCAAGGGGCGAGAAGATGGAGGTGCCGTTACCTGTGAAGGGCCCTCAGACTGAGCCAATCAGTGGCGAAGAGCCCGCTGCCCCCTCACATCCTCAAAGGCAAGTGACGCCAAGTCAACAGCAGCTCCTCCAATCAGCAGCCAGCAGAGCCCACACGTGATGGCATGGGTCCGTGGCTCTGATTGGCCAGTTGGGTGTTTGCCTCCAGTTGAGTGTTGTGGGCTGCTCGTTGAGTGACTGGAGTCGATCATTGTGAGGGAGAGAGCGCAGTCCGTCCCGGACACTGCGGGACTGTGTGAGTGTGAGTGTGGGTCAGTGAACAGTACAAGCCCAGCAAGAGGCGCCTCAAATGTAAGGAGACCAAAGCGAGGCGTTCCGCAAAGTTGTTGGGCATCTTTGCATCTCCCCTAACTCCCTCCCCTCCCCTCCCTCCCCCTTATCCCCTCCCTCTCTGCTCCCCAGCTCCTCGCTACTTCCTCAGGGGCTCCGGCTCAGACCAGGTTAACCCGAGATGGCGATGTTGTTGGACGGTGGAGCCCAGTTTCCGAGCCTGGGCGTCGGTGGCTTCGCTGGCCCGCGGCACCATGAGCTTTCCAACCGGGAGCCGAGCCTGGGCCTCAGCCCGTTCTGCGATTCGCCTCACCCCGGAGCTTTCAAACTGAGCCCGGCGCCTCCGGAGCTGTCGGCCAGTCAGGCGTCTGCTTTCAGCCCGCAGGGAGGCGGCTACGCGACCGCTCTGGCTCCGCACGCCGCTCCGGTTGGATCCTACAGCGGGACAACTTTCAACTCCAGCCGGGAGTTCCTGTTCCGCAGCCGGAGTGTTGGCATCGCCGATTCCCCTTCCACAAGTGCTCAGCAAGGCATCTTCCCGTCTCCGGGAGGGGCTCTGCACGCCCCCCCGGGGGTAAATGACAGTCCGGGACACCTCCTGTTTCCAGCACTACACGACCAAGCGGCCACTCACCCCTCTCCCAATGGGCATGTGGTGAACGGCCAGATGCGCCTGGGCTTTCACGGCGATCTCTTCGGGAGAGGGGACCCTTACCGAGCGGTGAGCAGCCCCCGGACTGAGCCGTACCCTCCAAGCCACCTCCACAACTACAGCCCCATGAATGTGAGCGGCCACCATCACCATCACCACGGAGCCGGCGCTTTCTTCCGCTACATGAGGCAACCCATTAAGCAGGAGCTGCCTTGCAAGTGGATCGAGGAAGTTCAGATCCACCGCAACAAGAAGGTTTGCCAGCGGACTTTCAGCAGCATGCACGAACTGGTCACCCACATCACCATCGAGCACGTTGGGGGACCTGAGCAGAGCAACCACGTTTGTTATTGGGAGCAGTGCCCGCGCGGAGGCAAATCCTTTAAAGCCAAATACAAGCTCATTAATCACATCCGAGTGCACACGGGCGAGAAACCCTTCCCATGCCCCTTCCCAGGATGTGGGAAAATCTTCGCCCGCTCGGAAAACCTCAAGATTCACAAACGGACCCACACAGGTAACAGACCCCGACCGTCCCTCCTCCAATTCATTTGAAAATCCCGCGAGTTGATTGATTTCGATTCTGAGCGAGTTGTGGCTGGAGACACTCAGAAAAAAGAGCCGCTTGGCCGGCAAGAGCTCACTTTCACTTGGGCCTGGGTGACGCTATCTCTAGAAAGAATCTCAGGGTTTGATCAAGCCGCCTCTCAGCGCCCGAGGGGCTTGTTTTTGTTTTTTTAAAAAAAGAAATAACAATTTCTCAAAATGCGTGTTTCCTCTTAGGTTTTCCTTCCGCACGAAAATTCCACACCCCCGCGCCATACCCTCCCGAAATTTGAAAGAAATCACAAAGATTGGCGTGTTTGTGCTACCCCTTTGATTCTTAGTTTAAAAGACAAAAATATAACCAGCTGTGTGTAAACCTTTCCTGTTTATTCGCTTTGTTTTGTTTTGCTGAGCGAGGGGACGAGAAAGTAAATCGTTATGTGTCGATGAGAAAGGTTGGGAATTGTTGCGGGAGTTCGTTGTATCATTTCGAGAATGTTTTCAAGTTTCGCTTCACTGGGACTTCCAGGAAACCGTCTCAAACAGTGAATTCCTAGGAGTTTAACTGAACGCGTCCGTCCATGATATAAATGATGTTTTCACCATTTCAGGCGAAGGAATAAATGTATTACAATTTACATGTACACTCCTCCCAATAAAAATAAAAGATATGTTTTTAGTGATTTAGCATTGGCTGGATTTGCTTCAGTTTTTTTTTGTCTCACTGAAGAGAAATAAAGCAGTGATCTTTTAATCCTGAAGCTAAATTAAAACGACGGAAGATCTGAAGGGGGGGAAGCATCAGGGAGCGAGTGAATTAATGCACGCAATTGTGGATGTTCACCAATGTCCTTTGGTTTGATTCAGGCGAGAAACCGTTTAAGTGCGAGTTTGAAGGGTGCGACAGGAGGTTCGCTAACAGCAGCGACCGTAAGAAACACATGCACGTCCATACTTCAGACAAACCGTACATCTGCAGGATGTGTGACAAATCTTACACTCACCCCAGCTCCCTCCGCAAACATATGAAGGTAACTGCTTTCACAGCATTTCCTTGTCACACGCATCCTGCACTTTGTAATTTGATCATTTTGAAACTGTTTGCTGTAAGTTATTATTAATTATTCAAAGTATGCACAATCATCACATATCTCTTTCTGTGTGTGTGTGTGTTTGGGGGTGGGGGGAGGGAGGGGGGTTGGTGCTGTGCGTTGAGCGATGTAGGGCCGAATTGCTCGGGATGACATTCAGACCTGAGCTTGTGTTCTGTAATTCTAGGTACACGAACCCCAGGGTTCAGACAACTCTCCAGCCCCAAGTTCCGGTTATGAATCTTCCACCCCCCCCAGCCTGCTGTCTACAAACAGCGAGGAGACCAGTAAAAACCCGGGCCCGGCCGCACACAACACCACCAACCCCAACCCGCCGCTGCCGCCGAATTTTAACGAGTGGTATGTTTGAGAAGTGGACGGGAAGCGTGTTCCCAGCTCGGAGCCGGCAGCCTGGACCTGTTGAAACTTTACCGGGTTTTTTTTTCATAAAGAAGCGAAGATTTGTGATTTCTGTAGGGGACGGCCGGCACTGACGGAAGCTCCGAGAGATAATGGCCAGCAGGGTTTTACAAAAAAAAAGGGCGAGTTTTGGTGTTTGACTCCAGCCTTGATAGAGACTGACCGCCCGCCCAGTTCCCTCAGGATCCGAATTGGACTGTGGCTGCGTTGGAGAGGTGATTATTGTTTGTTTTTGGTGCCGTTGCAGTTTCGGTTTGTTTTCGACAGTTTTTGTTTTGATTTTTTTGGGAGTGAGGGGAACAGAGAGAGAGAGAGACAGAACCTCGCTCCGACCATATGTTTGGATCGTGGCACCTAAAAGGTTGATTGATTGTCAGATTCACACAGTCTTACAAAGTGCCAAAGTTCTGTCATGTCTTCAACTTTTTAAAACAAAAAAAAATTGTGAATGTATCTCCTGTTCGATTGGGTCAAATCTGTTGTCGTTTTAGTGCTGGATGTGGTGATCCTGTCACTGGGATTTTGACGGTTAAATATAAGCGTTGCCTTTTTAACTATTTTCCTGTAAATGTACATATTCATAATGTCATATTTATCACTTTGTAATTTAATTATCGGTATTTACGTGCCGCGCTGAAACAATATTTATGAAGAATCATTTTCTAACAAAACCTATGTACAGTTTTTTTTTGAGGGAAAAAGGGTTATAACCAAGTTAACATTAAACAACTTTCATTTACAAGATCAAGCTTGCATTATTTTGGAGCTCACCCGAGTTCCATTATGCCCCACTGGGCCCAGGATTCATGGTTAATCACCGTTTTGGATGTTGGAGGCTGACGGATTTGTGAATTTTGAGCTTTAATCGATGGGTAAATGAAGCCGTTTGCAATATAAAACCTTCGAAAGACGGAGCTCACTTTGGAAGAATATTTAAGAAATTGTTGGGGCTATAAAATCCGATTAATGCAGGCCCGGGTGAGAGTGAGGAGTGGGGGAGGGGGGTTTGAGGAGGAGGTGATGAGACCTTTGTTCATCCAGGGATCACTGGGAGATGTCAGTCAGTCCAATACTGAACTGGGGGCATATTCAACACGCCGCATTCCGATTTCTAATTCAGTAATTACCAAGCAATAGATGGGGCCCTTTAACGCCACGTCTATTTACATGCCTGCATTCACTGGCAGTGTATTTTTTAAAAATGATTTGCAGATTGTTATCCGTTGCAGACACTGGATCTGTGCGTGTAGTTTTACTCCCAGACTGAGTCCAAACTGGTGTGAAAATCAGATTTACCTGGGAGTTTCCAGTGTTTAACTGGACCAATCATTTGACAGTTTCGGATCCGGGAAAAGGAAATGTGGTTTGTGTTAAAGTCAGGCGGAGACAGGGCTATTTTTCGTTGCAATTTTATTTTTATCTCCGATATTGTAATCTGCGGAAGTTTGGGGAGTTTCGGTTATTTAGCGCCGGATTCCTCCGTCTGCGGATCCTCTGGAAATTGGGGATTTTCCGGCCGCATTCATCCCACTGACAGCTATCTGTTTACAAACACCACTCAATTCCAAATTGTCTCTTTCCCGAAAGCTTGCTGCATATCTAACTCGATGGTAATTACTTCCTGCTCATAAACGAATAAAACAGCAAAATAAATTCTTTTAGAACGAGGCAAGGAGATACAGAATTCTTTAAATGTTCTCTTCGGGGTTTTCTGTCCCACACCGATCTCTCTCGCAAGGTTTAATTACAATCCAGTGTAACACATGTGGGACATGTTTTACCAGCAGGGGAGATTAACTTCCATATCTCAGCGACCTTGGCTGCTGTTTGTTCTAGGTGCGCTTTACCAGAAACCTGCGATTGTCTACCGCTCTGCCCTCATTGAAAACCTTCCCCAGCCCCAATCCAAACAACTCCTCATCTCACAGTTCCCGTTTGTAAGTTTGGGAAGTGAACTGTTTACCACAAATGAACTCTGTACAGACACTTTGAGCGACAGCTGACAGTCAGTAATTCTGGATGTTGTGTTGTTTCTGAGCTTGTTCACTTGGGCATGTGAAACAGTCTGCAACATACCCTTTACACATCCTTTCCGCACATTTCAACAGAACTGACCGGAAACCGCGGCAGATCCACATTAATCACCCTGCTTTTGAAATTTTCTTGTTTAATCGTTTGATATTATGTTGAGGTGGTGGATTACACAGACTCGTTGCATAATTTAGGAGATTTAATTCTCTGCTGATCTATTTAACCATCAGCTTGTTACCGTCTGTGTATAATAACGAACGCAGTTACCACTCACGATGACTCACGGAAGCACAGGCCTCATTTCTAACAGGCTTTTGTAAAACAATTGCTGTAAGTACAACATAAAGAGCTATCATGTTGAACCCAATTCATTCAAATATTGCACTGTTCTATAAAAGAAATTGAACTGAAATCACCGTTATTTTCCCACGGAATGAAGTTGCGCTTCATCGATCGAAAGTTAATTGATTTAAATTTTTTTTTCTAAAATAAAAAGGCAGTTATAATAGTTGTAGACTTAAGACTTTGCAAGTAGCGGCTGAGTAGTTTCAGGCGGGTTTACACGCGACCGACGACTTCAAGTTGTTACAGAAGTGAAAGTGTATCTGAGCGTCAATGAATGTATCAGTGTGAGACTGTTCGTCTTCATGTGAGTTTCTGAGCAAGGCTAAAGGCTACTAAAGCGTGTGCTTGTGAACGTTTTTCTTTAATCTAGTATCCGAGTTCCGGTGCGGGTGTACTGTAGTGGTTTGTGCATGTGACTGAGTGTGTAAAGGTATGGGTGTGAATATTTGAGTGCGAATATTATGTGAGTGCGAGAATATTTGATTGTGAGGGACTATGAGTGTGTGAATATTTGATTGTGTTTCAATATTTGAGTGCGTGTGAAGTTTTGTTTGTGTATGGTTGAGTGAACATTTAAGTGTGAATATTTGCTTGTATGAATATTTGAGTGTGTATGTGTGGATATTTATGTGGATATTTGATTGTATGAATATTTGAGTATGTATGTGTGGATATTTATGTGGATATTTGATTGTATGAATATTTTGAGTGTGTATGTGTGGATATTTAAGTCTGAATATTAGATTGTGAATATTTGAGTGTGTATATGAATATTTATGAGTGAATATTTGCTTGTATTAATATTTGTGTGTGTGTGTGAATATTTGAAGGCGTGCCTGTGTTGGTCAGGTAACAGCTGCTTGAATTGCCTTGGTTTTAGGCCGTGGCCCACGTATGCATGGCTTTGAAATTGAGTAGCGCCGTGTTTACTCGCTGTTTACATCTTCCACGCTGCTCGCTGCTTCTTTCAATGGTGTCGGAGCGGAGCGGCGACACTGTAGGCCGCCAGCATTTAGGAAGCAGTACAATTCCAACCAGAGATGCAACGAGAAGCAGAAGATACAGCAACGGTAGGTCAATTATCATCGTATTTCAATTAAACAATTGTACTTTTTTTTGCTTTTTAAAATAAACATATTTCGTAGCAATGTTACAGTGGCCTGTTTTTATTTGCAGCTTAATTAATTAAAAGTTATAATTTCGTCCATTCATCTCGCTGTACCGTGAAGGGACAGGTTTGTAAAGACAAAGCAAAGCCAATTTAAAAATGGTGGATTTAAAACCAGCTGCTTTATATTTCATGTCAATCTGGCAACATTTCTGAATCGTCGCTGTTTAAAGCAACTTCGAAGTTCTTTTAAAATAATTTAGACTTGGATAATTGTTAAATAATTTGTTGGAACTTTGAAAGGGACGTTTAATAGTGGAGCTGCTAAACGGGTCAGTGCAGTCCCGTTATACTGCCCGCAGTGTCCATTCCGGAGTTCCCAGCTTTGGATCAGTCCGCCTGCTAACAGTCACTACAACAGGCAGACACCCAGAACAGATTCCCAGAGACTTGTTATCTATTTAGGTCAATTTCTATGAGTTTCTAACGAGGGAATTTTCAATGAACGAGCTAAAACAAACGTCCAGAATAAAACCATGAGGTGGTGATTTTCCAGTCAGTTACAGTTAAACGCCAGGAAACGAGAAACATAGAAAGTAGGAACGGGAGTAGGCCATTCGGCCCATCGAGCCTGCTGCACTATTCAATCTGATGATCGGCCTCAGTCCCCTGTTCCTGTGATCGTCTCCAGATCCTGTAGCCCTAAGGAGTATTTTCGGATCAGTTGTACCATCCGCCACAGCAAAGTTTCAAAACAACCTGAGCACCTTAGCTCACAGGGAGCCCCTTAGCCTGTTAACTCTTTACAGTTTCTTTTGTCCATTGTTAAAACTTTTAGAACAGAAAGCACGTCCGATTGCACTGTTGTTATTAATTTGGGAGCAAATCTTTCCGAGGATGTCAGGTTTGACAGATTGATACAGGCCCGCTCAATAACCCGAGAAGTTCAAATTATTAAAGTCCTCTTAAGCATTTATAGCGAAACACTTCAACGTTTTTTTTGTGAAGTAGATAAATTTTGTTGCACTCTTTACAATCGGAAATGGCTGATTGTCTTTATTACTGCAGTTTCAGGAGAACAAACAGCGCAGGGAGATATCTCCTGTTTATTTACAATGCAATGAAAACGTTTAAGAAGCGTTTGAGTGAGAGTGGATTACAAATGCCTGCTCAATGGCCTGTTGAACTCTAAATGTTGCCCGCACGTTGGAGACAAATCCAGAGGCATCTAAAGGCTTGCACACTCGATCCAATTTGTTGTACATGTCACCGCTTGTAATCTCTACTGTACCCGCAATTGTTAGTGCACTTTCATGTGTTGCTATTCTTGTAGATGTCACAGAGTTTGTAACCTCCACAATATTTATACATGCCGCCATCTGCTCATAAGACTATACTTGGTGCCAGGCAATGGTTATTACCAAGCAGAGAGAATCTAGTCATCTCCCCTTGGGGTTCAATGACAT